GTGAAAACCACAAAGAAATCCATGGAAAAATGAGCTACACCCTTCTTACAAAGCTTTCAGTCCTGAAGCTCTGTGAGAACAAAATTCAGGACTCCTAGCATCCATCTTTGGTTTCATAATATATATCCCTTAAGATAACGCATGCCCTTGATACATATTTCAAAATTATACTTGCTTTACTGAAGACAGAAGTAGAAGGCCCATACACTGGAAGGTTCCCTGCTCCTAAGATTGACTGCCAATATCTCAGAATTCTGATGTCTAAGTGCCTCTGAGGATCTGGGATTATGTTTTTTTCCCCCCATCCATAGCAAATGAGAACAAGATTGGAACAATTCAGCACAAAACAAGAGAAGGAATTCAAGATGATGACACATAGTTGGCTTCAAGTTAACCATCCACAGGGATGAGTTTACAGCGAGGATTTTTCTCAGAGGATAGCTCACAAGACAAGCACCTAGAGAATAGCACCTAGAGAATACAGTTTGCACCTATTCTACTAAGAAATAAAGTAGGAAGTTCTACATAACCTTTGTAGCCAGCATTTTTGAAGAAGAAAATCTGATTAAATATATGTACAGTTAACAACTGTACAGTTAGAAGAGTGACATGGTTAGGATAGCATTTTACAGGTTAGAAAGATTATCATGATGGAAAGAGACAATAAAAAATGAAACACGCTCCTGTGTCCTAGGCTTACAGTAGAAAACTCCAAAAGGAAGGATGTCCAGAAAGAGGCCCTTCCCCAGTGGCAGTCAGCCCTTAAATGGGGTCTAGGGGAGGTGCAGCCAGGCTCCACTCCTTCCGGTCACACAGCTGAATTGCCTTCACCTATGCTCCTGGCTGACCCAGTCCTTGCCTCAGGTGATCAATCAGTCATTCAGGCCGTGACTCAACAGTTCCCATACAGTATAACACTGTCTAAAGCAGGCAGAAGTATATATACCGAGGAAAAAAGATCAATATGAATATTGGAAAAAGATTTGTGGTACAAGTGAGTAAAAGGACTGTGGTTAACTCTACTTGGGAACTGAGCATCCAAGGAGAAACAAGGGACCTGTGACAGCGTGGGAGGCAGAGTGGCAGAGTCTGCCTGATGCTCCTGGTGCTGTAAGTCACAGCAGGGTGAGGGTTGCCATCACTTCTGCAACAGCATTTTTGAGAACATGTACTGTTCAGAAGAGATGAAAGCATAGGATTAACTCAACGATCTGTTTCTTGCTTCAGGGCCACAGACCTGAAAGTCAGTACGTTTCCTTCTTTAACATGCCAGGCTTCTGAGCAGTGCAGACCGTGTCACGTGGAGGCTGTATTATTCCTGCTTAAGTAACCCGCTTTAGCCAGCAACCTGCTGGGGGAAGGGCAGAGCTGAAGTCTCACCAGCTCACACTCTGCTGCCAGGCTCAGAGCTGCAGGCTGCATGCTGTGTTCCATGGTTCCCTCTGGCACCGCCACTGACCGGCAATGGGATCTGCCTGGTTCAGCTGTATTGCAGCTGAGAATGACTCCTCCACTTGCATCACAGCCATTCTTGTAGAGCTTTTTTCCTTTTGCTGGCTGTCTGCCTGCCTCAGCATTGGGTTCGGGATGTTGATCTTGACCTACAGATCTCCACAATCAGGGTCATTCCCAGTACTGCTGGGAGGTGTGAGTTTTGTGGCTGCAGCCCATTGCTGCTCTGCAACCTCTGCAGCAAGGGGCCTGGCTCCCCCAGCCTCCTCAGGAGACACACTTCACACAGCCTGCCAGTATGCTTTCTCCTTAAATCTATCTTTGTTTTTTATTACTGCATCGCTGGCTTTCATTTAAGCTCTTCTCATATCATCCTGATGCTCCTCATGCCCTCCCCTTTGGGCAGGTTTCCCTGGCTCAGCAGTGCTGCTCGGTGCCCAGCCTAATCGAACACGTGGCCCACTGAGACCAGTGTAAATATTTCCCTTGACTTCAGTGGACTTTGGGCAAGCCTGCAATAACCCACCCTATTGGACAAAGAGGGGCCTCAGCAGCCCATCTGCAGTCAGTGATGGCACTCACATTGCCTGAAGTATACCCCAAAAGGATGGCCTTCCCTTCTCCTTGTGGCACCCCTTCACAGTGAGTTCTTCTGCCCTGCTGTAGTCACATAGGAGGTGCAGACCCAGCCAGCCCAATGAGATGCAGGCGTCTGTAAGCCTGTGGTTTGTCCTGTGAGGAGGGGTGCTGGGTGACTCCATGTTGCTGAAGGAAGGCCTGGGAGATGGGGGGTGGGAGCTGTCTTCCCTCTGAAAATGCACATCCGCGTTAGCTGTGTCATATCACTGATTCTAAATACATCAACCATGTTTCTTAGTGGATGTAGTGTGTGCGTCTGCACAGTGCCGTCACAGCAGCCTCAGCTCTAACCTATAAATAAAATTAATGCTGGTACCGTTATTTATATTAAACAAGTGATGAGCCATTGTTTCGCTGTGAGATGTTCAGAGTATTTGGCAGCCCAGGAGCTTGAACAGCATCAGTTTTAAATTTCAAAATCAAACTGCCACCTTGTGGCATGCTGGCGAGAAATCTGCAGGAAATCGTGTACAGCGGAAATAGAGATACATCATAAAAATTGGTCTCTTAGCCCCACCAATGGCTTGCCGTATTTACGTAGTCTTAAATGTAACTTTAATACACTTTGATGAAATAATATTATTTGTTTCTTCCATTAGAAAGTTCATCTGGTCTTTTGTTATTATTTGTCAGTCTAAATTACCAAACCAGTTACTTATTCTCATATGTAATTGTACTGAAATCACTAGTGGACTTATACAAATAGATATTCAAGGTTAGATTAAAATGCTTATAGGAGAGCCATAGATATAATGGCAATAGATATATATCATTGTTTCCTTTCTCTATTTTAAACTCATTTGTCTTGAGATTTTTATGAGAATCAGAGCATGGCCATACCAGATACTAAAGATGAGCAAATAGTAGTGCATCTGAGGTGCACTCCCTGTGCATCCTCGTGGGCCATGACAAATGAGAGCTGATTGTAATCAGCTTTCTCTTTCGTTGCGGGCCTAGCTCTCACAAATTACTTCACCTTGGTTATCAACCAAGAGCAAGCACAGTGGGCCAGCAGATGTGCAGCTTGTGCATCTCAGCCTTCAGGTGTCAGAGCTGCATGGAGATGCACTGCATGATCTTTTCTGCTGGCTGGAATGTGGCTGGAATGTGGCTGGAATGAATGTTCTCGTGACATCTAATGCTGCTCATGGTAGGCAGATTAAAAACTAGTCCATTTCAAACCGAAAAGTGTAACTGAGGTCAACTATGTATCAGTGCTTTGTGCATCCAAGACTTCTCAGGAACATAGTGGTTTAAAAAATAAAATAGTGTGAGTAACAAGAAGTCCATAGGATCTGGGTTCACATTTGTCCCTCTGATCATGCCAGACAAGCATTAACACTTTTCTTAAAACATGGGGTGGAGTTATCTGCTGAGAAGAGCAAAGTAAGAGGGGGACAGGAGGGAGTGTAATCATACGGCAAGCGTGATGCTGACCCTTACTTAAGTAAGCCCAGAAAGACACAGACAAGTGGCATGCAGCCTATAGCACTGAGGCAAGACATTTTCCTTCCATTTTCTTTATTACAAGCCTGAGTGTAATACTTACAGAATACTAAATACAAAGTATTTTTTATATATAGACTCACAGATTTCTCAGTTCCTCATGAACTGCTGTCCTGTAATATCTCTGGTGAGCACTGGCTGTAGGAGAGAGCTAGTGAGCATCCCATGATCAGGGATGCTGCAGGTGCTCATGGAGCTGTCTGAAGACCCCAGCCCCTGGAACACCTATACAGAGGCTGCCCTGACTTAGAGCATTATCCAGATTTCATGTCTCCATCAGTCTGCTTGGAAGCCAAAGTCACAGGAAAAGTAGACACAAAGATTTCTTTTTCATGACTGTGTGCAGTCTGCCCAGCTGGGTTGTTTAAATCAAGTACGAAGATCATTCTGCTAGTTATGATCCCACCACATGGCCCAAGCAGATGCGTATGTGAGCCACTTCTACATGAGGCCTCGTAACAGCTCATGTTGGCTGAGTCATGGGTTTGCATCGACACAGACCGGTGGTGACACAGGGACAGGGCTGGCACAATTAGAAAATAAAGGGAGGAAGTGTTCAGTGGTTGCTGGGATTGTGAGACAGAGGGTGGAGTGGCTGGGGGATACAGAGTATTTAAATGTATATAGGGTGGGAGGACTAAACTGTCTATAGAGCTGTGCGGCCTCTTCAGCTTGCACAAGTTCATTTGCAGAAAGGCTCTGTGGTGTTTGATGGGGTGTTTGACCCCATCCCATCCTGCAATCATACACCTCTGCAGTATTTCTCCTTCTGGGGGCACTTTCACCTGCCACTGCTATGGTCTCTGAGCAAACTGAGGCACTCCTGCTGCTCAGGACATTATAGAGGGGACCGGGCTGGATCAACACAGCCATGCTCAAGGCTTTACATACTAGGGCAGCTGTGAGCCCTGCATACTGGGGGCTCTAGTAGAGGCCCGGTCTTATGGCCAGAGAAATGGAAGCAGGACCAACAGGACCAGTGCTGTCCTGAGAAAAGCAAGATGCTCCCACAGGAAGGGTGCCTTGGGAAGTGATTTTTTCTTTCTGAAATGCGTTAGAAAGCAGTGAGAGCATCACATCCTACTGCCATCAGTAAGTCACCAGTAGTAACTATGAAAGGAAATGTGTATTTCTCCTGCTGAGAAACAGCACCCAGGACTAATGTCATTTAATATAACATGGCAGGAGCAGAGGTTAACCATGTGGTTAATGAAGCTTAATGTGTATAAAACCTGTAGAGAAATTGTTTTTTCTGATGTTATTGCTAGTAAGTCTGTCCTCACTTTCATAAAAAGAGTGTGGTGATATCTAAGAGTGGTATTTTGATGCCTGAAATGCTCTTCATATAAATAGAACAAGCAGATCAGCATGACCAAGTGATAAAATTACCTTCTGGTCTTCAGGAACTTCAGCATGTAACCGCACTATAGGGACCTCAGTGTACCCCTCTTCACAGCACAAACAGATACGTTTGGAAATGGAGGTGGAGGAGGCGTATGAAAAAGGAGAGAATACTCAGGGGAAAATGACTCGAGCTGAAGCTGCAAAATTAGTGAAAAAGAACTTTCTGGAAGCCCTGAAGTCCAATGACTATGAAACACTGGAAGAGCTCTTGAACCAAAAGAAAATAGATGTGGACACGGTGTTTGAAGTGGAAGATGAGAATCTGATTCTGGCATCCTACAAACAAGGTAAATGTGACAGCATTGACAGGACAGGAAGTAGGTGGGCTTGTGGAGTTTTCCAGAAACTGTGGCCTTGTGTCCCTTCTAAAGCTGCAGCATGATGTGGCTCACAGGGAGCGGTATCAGGAGGCTCATGTGGCCACACCACTGCCGGAGGAGAGCTTAGCTGTGCTGCCGGCCTTGGCGGAGGGCAGGCCAGAGAGCAGCACCAGGCTCTGCACCTCCCAGAGCCCTGCAAAGAGGAGACCTTTGCTATTTCCTCGCAGAGGATTTGAGTGCAAAGCCCAGCACAGGCCCATGAAGTGAAGTATACAAATTTCTTGCATGTTCTCCATCACATTAACAGAACATTTAGAAACACAAAATATTTAATCTCTTCCTTTTTCAATTTTCAATAGTGCAAGGAATTCTGCTTAGCTTAGGGGATCTAAAGAAATCCTGTGGGCTTGAATGTTGCTGCTGGGGAGAAGCTGTATTTTTCAAGCTCACAGAAAGCAAAGATGTGCTAGTTCATCAAACCAGAGGAGTCATCTGGAGAAACAACATAACCAGGCAAGACTTCCCACCAGGTTTGGAATTTACCAAGTCCAAACCAGCTGTCAGATACAGAATTTCCGGAAACTTATAATTTAAAACAATGAAACAAATCTGCTTTCTGCTAAAATCAACGTACTTTGTTACCTACTTGATGAAAACACTCCTCATGGGTATCTGGAAGACAGTAATGACCAGCTTTTGCCAGAAGCTAAATGTGCATGGAGATGAATACCAGTCTTGGCAGCACGGCAAATATCCTTTTTTTTTTCTGTGACATAACAGAGGGACAACATCCCTCCTCTTCTCTTTTCCTGTGTTTACCTGATATTTAATGATCAGTCTCTGCTCTTTTGATCACATAAGGGTGAGGATGATTCAGCCAGGAGTTCCCCTGGGGACAGCATCTGAACTAACCCACACAATGATGAATGTACCTTAAAATACATTTTCTTCTGTCCTCAGCTGGCTAAAATGCATTTTGGTTGTGGTTTGAAACTACAGAAGTAATGCTTGAATTTTTAATTGTGGATATTTCAGCAAGAAGTACTAACCTCTCTTTTGGACAAGTCTCTCCTTTTTTCAAATGGTAAGGGATAAATGTACCCCATGGCCTAAATCACAGCAGTGTATCTGCAGAAGGCGCTCCATCAGCTATCATGCAAATTTTGTTTTCTGGGAGGAGGATTTCCCTGAGGAGCGAATGCTGTTAAGCATTCAAACAGTTTGAGCTTTGCCACAGCCCCAAGATACAAAGGGGAAAGAAGCCACCAGTGGCAGAGGGGCTTTGCTATCTCTCTTACAAAAGGCCCCCCTTTTGGAGACTATGGCTTCTTTTCACCCCAACAAATAGGTGAGTTGAAAGACGCCCCCATATGGGCTGTTCCAGCTGCCTGCCCAGTGCCAGGTCTCATCCCTTTGGGATCAGGGATGTCTGTGGTTCTGGGCAGAGGACATAGGAGATGCTCCTTCAGGATGTCTGGTGTGGAGTGTGCACCACTCACTCACAACAGCACAAAGGAGATAAAGGGGGATCTCAGATAGGAAAACTAAGGCTGTGTGATGGGATAACTTAGCTTTTAAGGATCACTTTCCTACCATTACATATTGTACATACATACATCATTTATGGCTCACATATGTATATTTTTGGCCCCCCCAGGCTGAACTCAGTGTAGGATCAGGTTGGTTACAAGGAGAAAAGCAAAATGTGAATCTAGGTGGGGAAATGACTTAAGAAACTTGCTATGCTGTGTGCGTAGACTCTGGGATATAGCACACCTACTTTGCACCAAGCTTGGGGGCATATGATGAAAAAGTTTTTCTCTCTGCCAACAGCAGTTTGTTTCTGTCTACCTCTTTCCTCTCTCCATCTCTCTTCCTATCTAATATAGTGCACATGAAACTGTAGATGTATCTGTCTGAAATGAAAGTGGAAAATATGGAGCTCAAGACTCAAAAATTAAGGTCTGAATTAATTTGGCCTCATTACACATCTGTAGTACTCTCTTTACTTTAAATTATTATTTAAAGTACTTTAAATAATAACAATGTTTACCAGAAACTTGCCCGAGGAGATAAATTAAACCAACAACATTTTATAGGCACATACTAGCTAAAAAGCAGCTGCTATACTTCAAAAATGAATATAGAAAAGGATAAAAATGAAGTTTTAGTCTTCTCCTGACCTTCTGCAGTACTATCATAGTTTTCTTTTTTAAAGCAACTGATCATAGTAATCATTTCAAAGACTGTCTCTATGCAGTCATGGAACATGTAGAAGTATCTTGGGAACAAATATTAAAGTGTTCTTTGATCTTACACATGTTTCTAAGTGTACTTACACAGGTTTGTAAGAATACTGTGAAGTTTTCAGACAAAAATCTGAACATTTTGGAGCCAAATTTCATGCTGAACTGCCTCTGCTTCCATTTGGCTCTTTCACCTAAATCACACCAGCATCAGAACTCCTCACTCCATGCCCCTCATGGGCAATAGCTGGCAGAAGGGCAGGGACACTTTGCCACATTGCCACATTGTTGGAGATCATCTTCATGCAGTGCATCACTGGGAGTACAAATCCAGCTCCCTGAACATGTGCTCTTGCAGTGTCCCATGCAGAAACAGCAGGATGAGCTATTCATTGAGTCACAGCCCTAAGCAGATTCAACATTCTTATTCCAATACCACCTTTGTTCAGCTGTTGGCAGATTGAAGAGTCCGTTTCCAACATATTTTTTGGGTGATGGTATTTCAAATGCTCTGAGCTTTTTTTAAAGGTTATTATTCAGTCTACAGAGGTCACTAGAAAAACAAAAGCTGCCTTCAGTACATCTACATGGGAATTATCACTCCAAAAGGCAGACTATTCAGCACACACAGTGGAAGTACCTAATGAAAGTGAAGTTATGCTTGAGAGAACTTTGTGTGCACTGAACTCTAGCTGGTAAAATTACAGCAAATTAAACCAAAGCTCCGATCTTCCTCCTCAATTATTCTCAGTAGATGGATAATGCAAAGGAAAATCTTAGCCAAGGATGGTAACACTTCTCTGTTTTGTACAGGATACTGGCTGCCTAGTTACAAATTAAAAATATCCTGGGCAACTGGACTTCATCTGGCTGTCATGTATGGGCATCTGGAGAGTCTTTCAGTCCTGCTCAATCACAAAGCTACGATCAACTGCCGGCCCAATGGGAAAGCTGCAATCCACATAGCGTGTGAAACAGCAAATGTTGAGTGTCTCAAGATCCTCTGCAATCATGGGGCCAAGCTGAACTGCTTTTCAATGAGTGGGCAGGCGCCCTTGCACTTCTGTACAACACTAACCTCCATTCCTTGTGCCCAGCAGCTGATTTGGAGAGGTAAGGGAAAGTTCTGGATGGTTTCTGTGGTCTTTCCTAGGAAGCAAGTTTCCAAGTCCTTGTATATTTATCCTTCCCACCCACAGCTGACTTGCCTGTTCATCTCTGACTCCTTTTCCCCATCTCTTTGACCAGCTGAAGTTTCTTCTCTCCCTCCCTGTCCATGGCCACCAGCCCTTGCTCCAGGATTGGTTCCCATTCCAGCCCACTGCCTGATCAGTCCCCAGCAGCAGAGCTCCTCTGAACCAGGGAATTCTTTTTCTCTACTTTTTTTTTCTGTCTTTCTCATCTAAATTTACTACTGAAAGGCTCTCACATTAAAGTGCACCCCTAGCTTCTTCTTTCTTCCAAAAGAAATTTCCTTGTTCTCCATAAATTCTTTCACCCACTTGTGTTTTAAGACCTAGCCCTGACAAAAGAAGTGTAGTTTTTCATACTGTCTCTTAGTTTGCCAGCAGTCAAATTCTCACATCTCTGTAGGATATATGGGAAAACGGCTATTATATAAGATTTTGTTTTCCTGAAGCTAGATATGTTGTATCTCTGATTGGCTGTAGCAAATGAAGCTATGAATAGATGCAATTCACAGATAAATATATTGATGTCCCTTCTACTGTGTCCTTAACACAAGGAAGCTGACTCTGGGCTTTTAAAGACAGATATAAAGGGTATAGCAAAGTCAGGCAGCTCCGAGTCCTGAGTTACAAATAGACAGATTCCCTTATTTGTCACACTGTGACACAACAAACACAAATACCTTTAGCTTTTTGCTACATATGTTGTTATTGAAAGCTTGTCTTGAGATGCAGAGACCAAGTATGATTTGTGGGCAAGGGGATTTGAAACCACAAATGAATAACCACATTGCATTACTTCTGCTGAGAATATATATATTATTTTGTTTGTTAGAAAGGAAAATAAATGCTGCCAGTTATATCCTGCCCAAAGCAAAAAGGCCTGACAGCAGGAGCTGCTTTTGCTACCATGGAAAAGCTTAAAAGTCGAATGTACTGTTACAAAATGCAGCAAATGAAAGGATGTGTTCTACAGGCTTTCTCCACCCACCTATCAGCAAGCAAATAACAGTGCTTTGCAAGCCACCCTCTTTTCCTAAGCGCTCTGTAAACTTGAATTTCTATGTGAGCTAAAAGCAGGCAAACAAAAATGGGCACAGTCTGGAGCAAATCGTGGCAGGTGTGTGCATGCAGCACCACCCAAAAGCTGTCAGCAGGTGTTTGCTGATGCCCTGAGCTGAGGTTTCCAGAGGTATCTCCCATCCCACCGTCTGCACGCGGTGGTATCACACCAGGTCAGTTCAGGCAAAGGCAGTTCAGCCCTTTCTGGCTTGGGCAACCAGCCAGCCAGGCAGAGCTCTTCCCAGATTTGTTTACCACCTCCGAGCTTATGTTGCTGATACACTCACGGACATGTAACGTGAGTAACACCCAGCTGGGTTTAAAGGGATTAGCACGCAGCCCAGCAGTAATTTCTGACTCCTCTGTCTCCCTCTCAGTCATTACTCCTCAGTCTTAGTGTAGTTTGGCCATGTAAGGGCTGCTTGGCTGGAGAGGAGCGGCCACACAGCTTGCTTTTGCTCTTGCATGAGCGCTTCATCAACTGCTCGCCAAAGCTCAGGGTTCGAGGAGCAGCTCTCGGCCACCCAGCTGCCAGCACTGACTTCCACACCTTCCACCACTGGAACAACCCTCTGCCCTCCCCAGCCTGCTGGCTCTGCTGTACCCTGATACGTAGCAGTATGTATACACACAATGTGTACACTACAAATATATGTTTCATACTGCAGTTTTTCTTTGCTCCAGGGAATGGGGTCTTGCCAACCTTTCCTCTGTTCTAATAAGCAGTGTTCAGTATTCTTTCCCTCAGTAATTTGCATTCCTTTAGAGCAAATTGCTGATAGCTGGAAGGGACGAGGGAACGTCCTGCCGAGCGGGCGGGAGCCCAGAGGCCTGCGCTGCTTCGGCGGAAACCTCGCCAACTGCAGCTCGAGGCCCAGGCCTGTTCGTCCGTCTGTCCTGCGGCAGCTCTCGTGTTGAGCAGCAGATGGCGATGTTGCTTCAGCAACAGGGGTATAAATTCGGTGCAAGCAGACTTGTTACACTGTGGAGTCGAAGAATCATTAAGGCTGGAAAAGACCACTAAGATCATCTAGTCCAACCCCAACCCACCCCACCATGCCCACTGACCGTGGCCCTCAGTGCCACATTCACACACTTCTTGATCACCTCAAGGGACAGTGTCTTCACAACCTCCCTGGGCAACCTGTGCCAATGTACCATCACTCTTCCACAAAAATCTTTTCTAATATCCAACCTGAGCCTTGTTAGCAGCTCAGAAACAGGACTAGACCCTCAGATAGGGAATCCCTCCCTGCCTTCCTCCCTTCCTTCCTTTTTCAAATATCATTTATGGAGTAGGAGTAGTGATCTCATTTTCCCCCTGGTTCTTTATAGCAGAAAGCACTTTAGAAATAGATTTGAACCTGAATGCTGCTCCAAAACTATGTTTAGGTAAGGTGTTCTATCAGCTCAGGGTCAATCTATGACACTGGGAAAGGGATCCAAGAATCTGAAGTTTTTAAGGGTTTCCCAGAGGCCTAAGAAATGCAGAATCCACATCTCTTACTATTTTCATTACTACAAGCATCTTTCAAGATAAATGTCCATCCGCACCATCTCCTTGGGTAGCACAGCTCTAGCACAGAGGTGTCTGAACCAGGATTTTGTTGCCTTGACTGTTTCCCATAATCTTTCCTTGTCAGGAGCCAACGTGAACATAAAAACCAACAACCAAGATGAGGAGACCCCTCTGCACACTGTTGCGCGTTTGGGTATCCCCGAGCTCGTGGCTTTCTATGTGGAACAAGGGGCGCAGGTCGATGCTCTCAATGCCCACATGGAGACCCCCCTGGCTTGTGCAGTCTACTGGGCCCTTCACTACAAGGACCAGACATACAGCCCCGACCACCACCTCATCTGCCGGATGCTCTTAGACTACAAAGCTGAAGTGAACACTCGTGATGAGGACTTCAAATCTCCACTCCACAAAGCTGCCTGGAACTGTGATCATGTACTGCTTCACATGCTGCTGGAAGCAGGAGCAGAAGCCAACATCATGGATGTCAATGGCTGTGCACCCCTACAGTATATCATAAAAGTGACATCTGTGAGGCCAGCTGCCCAGCCTGATGTCTGCTACCAGCTGCTACTGAATCATGGAGCAGCCAGGATATATCCCCTGCAGTTTCACAAGGTTAAAGATGGTTTTGTACAGAGCAAAGAGATGGAGAGAGAGGATGACTTGAACAGGAGAGAGATGAGAGAGCCAAACCTCAGAGTCTGATAATATTGGGATTTGCAGGAGTCCTATGAACTATAGTCCCAGAATTCCCAAAATCTTGTGAGATGACCTGTTGTAAGACTGGTATCATTGTTAATGACAGAAACTTGATGCAGATCCAATTTTCATTCCCAATCAGTCCGAAAATACAAAGTCTAAATGTTGGCTCAATTTTTCAGAACTGATTGACGTTACCATTTCAGAAAATCGACATGCTTTCATCAAACCTTGCTCCAAATATACTTAACTGGGTTGTAGGAAATGTATATTTTGTTGCCTCTATCAAAGACTGGAAAAAAGATAAGACAGTTCATTTTGTCCATTCTGACCTTTAAAAATACAAATCCATTCAAACTGAGATGGATCTCAGTGATGTTTTGGCTTATTCCTGGGAATGAGAAAAATTAAGGGGAATTTCCAAATCTGAGCTCATAGCTGATAGGAAAAGAAACAATAATTGCAGGATCCCTCCCAAAGAATTTCTAAAGGTCTTCAATACCCAAAGCACTGTAATTTCTTACATGAAGCAACAAAGTAAGCTTGCTGTGGTCAGGACTCATTCTCTCATCTCTGCCCTGAGCATAACTGTGCTTCTCCTCCATTGTATGCACAACATTTCAACAAGCCAAGCAATCAGAAATCTTTGAAAAACTGCCAAAACTTTGGCTGTACCCTCCTGAGCCTAGACTGAGATGCCCTGGTTCTGTAGCAAAATTTTTCTACAGTCTGCTTGAGAGCCAGACTTGGGGTCTCCATTTCCTGCCTCCATCTTTCCCCTATTGCATGGAGTGGGGCACAGATCCAATCTATAATTTGCTATCTGTACAATATGCAGCATGATGTTTAACCCAGGGGGATGCTCTACAGCTTTGTTTGTGAAAGTCTGCCTATGGTGTATGTCAAAATTGTACATAGTATGGTGTGAATGCAAAGCATTACTCCGTGAATGTGAGTGAGAACAAAGCAGTGAAGATGGGATTGTCTTTTCCAGCACCAACTGCATCCTATCCTATGTTTTAAATGTGTACATTTTAGTGTGTCCTTATGCTCTTCTCGCCAAGCAGACAGGCTGGCCCCAGGTTCTTGGTGGTACTTATGATCCCTGTACATCCTGCCTACAGGTGCTGCAAGCCTGTCATTCCTACCCCAGGGCTGTGGAGGTGGTTGTCAACACCTATGAACACATCAAATCAACATCAAAGTGGAAAGCGGCCATACCTGATGATGTCTTTGAGGTAAGCTCTTACTGGGTTGCAAAGGAGTAAAATCCAAGCTTGATATTTATTATCCTTATCTGGCCACAGGAAAATGAGTATGCTTTTGAAGGTGAGTAACATACCAGGGCAGCTCTATGGGCTTTTCCCTCCTGGTTAGATCTGTGTGTTGGGAGGTGGAGAGAAGCTCAGTGCCCTGAACCACTCATTTTGTTTTGCGTTTTACAGCGGCACCAGGATTTCTACGACTCCTTATTCAATGTGTGCAGCAATTCACCACGGTCCCTCATGCACTTATGCAGATGTGCTATTCGGATGACACTGTCAGAACGATGCCACCGAGGCGTCCCTTTGCTCTCCATCCCACTGTCCATGAAGAAGTACTTGCTGCTGGAACCAGAAGGAATAATCTACTGAGCCAGTGCCCTGCTGCTGCCTGCATCTTCATGGAGTTGCAGGCCCTGTGCTCACACAAACCTTCACTTCTGTGTGGCCTGAGGGCTGGCTGGCATTCACTGGCCCTCCTCAGAGCCTCCTTGGAGAAGCAGAGTTGGAAAGGCACAACCAAATGAACACATCCCTCAATGCTTTGTTGAGCCTAGCATAAACAACCCAAGCAATGATGCTTCCATTTCTATCAGTATTTATTCCACTGTGTGATATGGTTAGATTCAATCTGAGCAGCCCTTTGTACTGTTTCACAGCAGTTTTCTTTAGCTGTCATTTTAGGAGTAAGAGGATACTGTCAAAAAGTAGTGTGTTCATTAGTCATTGGAATGCTTTCCCAGAAAGAAATGGGCAAACTGATTTGTATCATGACCACAGTCAGGATTGCAGTAGTTTCCTATGGATCAGTACTGAATTTGGGATTAATATGTTGTTCACTACAGCTGTCTGTACCTTAAAGTTTTGTCATAATACTATTCTTTTTAATTGCAGTATTTTTTTCCATTATCCATCCTAGTATAGGAACGGGACTGAAATCTGCAGCACTGACAATTCTGTGTGTTCTTGTTCATGCCTTGCTTTGGTAGCTTTTAGAAGATGCTGTCTCTGTTTCCACTCTCATCGTGACCTGCATTAAATTCACAGCCTGGTGTGGAAAAGGCAGATGCCCTGGACTTACCTGTGTCAGCTCACTCACATACACACATTCTTCAGGATGGTTGTGGGTGGGATCTGTGAAGAATACGAGAATTTCTGTCCATTGGTTACAAAAGGATACTAACCTATTAATGTGGACTAGATAGCTCATTTTTGAGCAGCTAAGTACAGGTGAAAAGAATTCCACCTTAACTGAAAGGTGTTTTCACATTCAGGAAACTGGGCTGAGCTGTTTCAGACTTGTCAGCTGCTTGGTGCCTTTGAACGTGCTGATGCTGTTTCCCACAAAACAGTTTGTCCTGGCAGAGCCATTGTCTCCAGTGCAGGGGAAGAAATGCATGGTGCACTGTAGGTATCCTGCAGCAACAGCAATGTATAATTTGACCTATTGATAAAAGCCATTTTTACTCCCTTTTTTTTTAGTTTTATGCAGTCCATTTGCACTGTTCTTCATTTAGACTCCGATAACTCTCGGCTCTGATAGAAGGGAGGTGAGCTGGGCCCATCATCAGAAGCCAGCAGCCCCTGACTTCTCACTGCATCTTTGGCTGATGCAGTGGTTCCTTACTATCATTATTAACTCTCTGCAAGAGATCCCATATCTTGCTGGGCTTTTCCCACCTGTACAGGAGCAGCCAAGCTGTTCAGTGTCTCTGTGCTTTGCAAGGTATCAAGAACAGCACCCAAAGAGATGCACAGAATATTTAGTATTATAAATCACTTTGCTGACAGAAAGCACAGCGATAAGAGCTCTTACTATTAGTAACAGGCCTAACAAGTGTTACATCTATATCAAAGGCAGTCCCACAGTCACTGGAGAGTCATAGGACCGCACAGGTTGGAAAAGACCTTCAAGATCATCAAGTCCAGCCACCAACCTGACCTGCTGAGTGCCATCACCACACCGTGTCCCTCTGCCAATCAAGCCCTGTACTTTACTAAAATGATGAAAGGTTTCTAAAGTGAATTTTGAGGGACTGGGAAAGCCTACATAATATAAAGCCACTGCTTTTCTAAGCAATGCATCTGTGTAAGTCAGGAATAGGGAAAAGGACTTGCCAGCTGGACAAGGCAAGAAAATATTTGTTTCTTTCTGAACAGTCTGACAGCAGGACTAGCTGCACCCTCCAGAAAAGGCAGATGGAGGTGCCTGGTTTTACTTTGCAGGCATACTCATGCTGGTGGCTTCAGGATGTGATATTCTGCATCTGGAAGAGGGAGGTTTAAGGCAGAACAATAGCACTGTTTTTGACCTGTCGTAGTGAGGACTCTCTTGCTGAGAGAGAAGAAAAAAGACTGTCACCACTGTTCCTAAATTCCCCCTGATCCTCCCTCTTCACATTGAACAAGCTTAATTTTCATTCTGCAGGCACCCAGCCTCACTTCCAAGCTTTGTACCCAAGCAGGTGCCAGATTACAGCCATTGTGGGATGTGACAGAGAGCACAGTGGGATCAGGCTGATTATAGTCATAGGAATTTGCAAGCTGTTAAAACACTGGAGAACATCCCCACTGCAGAAAGAAAAAGACTAATTGATGCACTTTAATTGGTTTTGTTGTTTGAGTTAGAAGAACAACAGTAAGCAAACCTTATTATTTGTTACCTTTTAACATTTCTTTCTTTTTAAATCTCACTGCAGTGACAGTAAGACTAAATACATCCAGTTTCTGTGCACTAGATGGAGCTGCCCAAGTGAGGCATGGGGGCACCTGATATTTGCTAAATTTACTGGGTGCACAGTCTTATTACTCTTAGTGCAGATTCATTGGAGATTCATGCTGTTATATAACTTCTGATCATGCCTGTATGTTTCCAAAGCTGCAACAAATTGGATGGCTGCAAATGGAAATAGAGAGAGACCAGGCTGCAACCCCTATGCTGTAAGTTTGAACCTAATCATGAGCTAAAATAACAGAAAATTAGTTTTAGCATTGCTTGGTGTTGCCTTGCCTTGCCTTCCTTTCCCTTCTCTTCATTATTTATTTGTGCTATTTGTCTTCTCAGTAAAAATGTAATCATGTCTGAGAAATTTTCACTGCATTTCACAGCCTGTAAGAATATTTAAAGCACACAGGAGCACAAACAATGAACTGTTGTTCCCACTGGCAGCCCTTTCCCGCAGCTCCATTAGTGACTTGTCAATAAACAACCTGGTGATTTTTAGAAGGTGCATAAGAAGAGACGTTCTTAAGCCAAGTACTTTGTTATTCCATCTATGAACATAGACGTAGAGACACTCCACATGTTTTTGTGGGCCAGTGCAGAGCCATAATCCAGTTTTTCACAGACATTCACTTTGTATACTGCTCTTATAATAATTTGAAACCTTCTCTATTTGATGTCTGACTTGTTCCAGCTTGACTCAAAACTCCACAGATTTATCCATGGAGAAAGCATGTAGGTGAAACCAAAATCAATCTAAAAGTGTTCAGGACTGTGTTTTCATTCAAAATCTTAAACAACTATTCACGTTTTTCAGCCTTCAGAAACCAGGACAGTGAGCCTGAAACAGTGTGACTAGAGAAGCTCTACTGCACTGCTGCTGATCATGCCCATCTCATGCCAAGGAGAGGAGCCAGAGACTGCAAAGTGGCAACTCGGGAAATTGCAAGAGGAAGCAGCTCATCTTACTCAGTTCCTTCTCAGCATGTAGCAAGTGAGTCACCCTTGAGACAGGCTACTTTTCCAATGTTGCTCCTAGATGGTAGGGAAAGCTATTTTCTCTGTTGTCTCCCACTGTGTGCAGAGCTACCAAGACCTTGAGAGTTGCACAAGGCTTAAAAATGAGGCAAGTATGTTTTTCTCTGCAGAGGTGACTTTGTATACAACTGTCTGCATATAGGATGGTCCTAGAGCAGAATGTATTTCATTACTCCGTACTGATACTTTAAAGCAATACTCAACAGTCCTGCTTTAAATACTCAACACTCAACAGTACAAAATCCTCCTTCAAACACAGGCTACCTGATAAGAGTCTATTGCTTGATTGAATGGCAGCAATAGTCAGTCTCAGGTCTTTAGCACAACTGGTGCTAATTTCACATCCCTCACTCCTCTGATAGCATGCATTAAGTACTCTAGTGCACTGAGACAAACTTACATTATAAAGAAGAAAAGGTTCAAAGCCCAGATAGTAAATATAGGGCTCTGGGACCAGGATCTCAGTCTCTTTCTGTCCTCAGTGCTTGACAAGCCAGCAAGGGAAGGAGCCAAGCTGGCTGCAGCCCTTCCCATGCTCTTACATGGCCTTGGCACCAGGGCAGTGTGGAGGATGCTGCTGCTACCTGAATCATCTTGAAAAGTTTAGGACCAAAACTGCTGACTAGAAGAAAGCAGACTGTATGGTCTGTATGTGCACTGGCATGTGAGTTCATTCATAGAATCACCAAGGCTGGAAAAGACCTCCAAGATCATCTAGTCCAGCCATCTACAATATTCCCACATTAAAACGTGTCTCTTAGTACAACATCTAAAGGTTTCTTGAATACCTACAAGGAAAGTAACCTCACCACCTCCCTGGGTAGCCCATTCAAGCACCTGACCACTCTTTTGGAGAAGAAGCTTTTCCTAACATCCAACCTGAATCTCTCCTGGTGCAACTTGAGACCATTCCCTCTAGTTCTATAGCTAATAGCACAGGAGAACAGGCCAAAATCCACCTTACTACAACTTCCTTTCAAGTACTTGTAGAGTTCAGGCAGTTGACTCTTCATATCTAAAGAGACTTGGAGAGATATTCCAGTCAAATCTTTGCTCTAATTCAGAACAGAACTTTTCAACTCAAGTTAGGGTGTCAGGGCTGAAACCAATACTTTCTACAAGAATTTTGGCATTAGTGAAATTTTCTTTCTTCAAAATCACTTACCATCTTGAAAGATCACTTCTTTCCATGGGGCAATCTGTTACAGCCTATACTCCAGTTCTGACAGAATCAAATGCTGTGATTGTGAGTTTCTTTATATCTCCCAACCAGAGCAAGACTGACAACTATTTCTATAAAATGTCAGAAACACAATTATTAGAGGTAGGGGGAAGATTCTGGTCTGCCATGAAAGGCAGCAGCTTTACTTTTAGCTGAAAGTACTGCTGGGCCAATTAAAACGATCAGAGACTCTGCTCCTTCATATTATAGGAATGCCCTTTCAAAATGCACTATGACTTTTGGCAGTACATTTTGCCCGCGGGACAAATGCCTGTAAATTAAATATACAAGAGTTCAGTTTTCGAGATTGGAAGGAAGATTGAAATAGTCTGGGGTGGCCTGTGCTCTTATATACCTTTATTATACTTGGAAAAGCCAAGGAGGCATGCTAGCTTTTCAGCATGCTCCAAGCTTTGCAGGGCTCTTGATGGGCTGCTGCTGCTTTTCTGAAATGCTGCAAGATACAGATGGGTCAGACACAGCAATATTTCCATTTACTTTCAGGATATGGAAGTAGCATTTCCCTGTGCTCCCTAGGGTTTGCACTTCTACTAAATGACAGTGCAGAACATGCTATTAGCAGAGATGCCAAAGCCTAGCTAGTGCCTGACACCTTAACCTCCCTAAGGATTATATTAAAGTAGTGGAAAGATCTACCACGGTCTTTATTTGGGAACGGCAGGAACTTCTGCTACAGCAGATGAGTGAGTGGGTCAGAAAAGATTGCTATATACAGCAACTGTCAGATGAAATTTGTTGGCTGCTCCAAATTTTTTTTCCTGACCATTTCTCCAAATGCACCTTAAGCTTCATAGCACATAAAGTGGAAAGGTGACTAAGACTACTATGCATTCCAATGACCTGTTTGATTTTAATATACAGTTAACATTTCCTTAGCCCTTTGCCTTGCACTGGCACCCCATGAAACACTGCTAAATTACAATTAAGGCATTTAAAACAAGAACAGAGAGGCACAGGATGATTTTTACACCACTGGTGAACTGCTGTGTTCTTTCCAATGAGGGCTAGCTAGGGATGCTGCTACCAGCCTTTTGCTTGGTACCAGAATACATCTGCACTTCAGCCTTTTATCAGTGCAATTGATATGGTTCCTAGGCTGTTTACACTGCAATTAGCACTGGGTTAGATTATGTCAATAGTGACTGTCAACAGGGAGCTGCACTGGGTACAGCAATAAGCTTGCTGTCTATTTTTGGTAGATGGATGTTGAATGCAGACAAGTTTGATCAAGAAAAGAAATCTTCACCTGTTCCTGATAACCTCACAAAACCCTCCAGCTGGTGAGGGGCCAAGAACAGATAACTCTTAAGATCTGAGGAAAAACAAGCAGGAACAGAAGAGTAGCAAGCCTGCTTCAGAATAATGCCCCATAAAAGAGGAAAGAGAATAGTGGGACTTATAAATGCATGGACTCTGGCTCAAGCAGTGCAAAAACAGAGGTGCTGCAAAAGGGCAAGGCAGTACGTTGGCAGGCCACAGGCACGCAGCACATTGGAGATCCAGGCTGAGGAGACACTGCGATCAGTACAAAGCTGTTTTCTGACAGAAAGTAACAGAGGTATTTTAACATCCGTGCAGAGAAGAATCACCCAATAGGGCCAACTATAGAGAAGTCCATTGAATTACACCTACATACTAAAGCTGAGCCAACGCTTCTGTGAGTCGCTCCTGTTGTTTCCCAGTGTGCATGGCTCTCATGAACTCAAGGTCACGCTGTCTGCCTGGGTCAGCACTGAACAAATCTCTCACTGCCAGCAGCTCTGAGCTAGCCTTGCTGGAAATTCCAGCATGTCATTCAGGCCCATTTCTCCCATAGCCTTGCCTTTCCTTTATCATAAATCCAGAGAATTTCAGTGATAACTTTCTCTTTCACCTTTACAGTATTTTGGTAGCTTTTGCTTAGGGCAGCTTTTTTGCTACAGAGAAGAAAAAAATAATCTGAAATGAATTACACAGGCCCATGCACACACCAAGTCAGATTCTTCTCAACTGAAGGAATTTTGACCATCTGGAAAGAAGAACAATTAACTTTTATATTTACACCTGTTTGCTCATATATCAGGACACTGATTGTATAATTTGCAGCTGCTGTGTAGATGCAGTACAGTATGTGCTGCTGCATTTTCCCAGTCTTAAAGTTCCCTAATGCAATCAGGTATGCTGGGATCTGTGGGTTGTGTGACATTCCAGAATAAAACGGAGAGCCAGTTGCTTTACTATTTGGGTTGGATTGGCATTGAAATTATTTGGAGGGTTTAACATAATAGCATTTAGGTGTTCCCAGTCCTGTTGATAAGGCAGTGTATGGGAACTGCTGAGTCACGGCCTGAACCTCTGATTGACCACCTGAGGCGAGCCATGAGTCAGCCCGAGGAGCACAGGTGAAGGCAATTCTCCTGTGCTGCCGGAAGGGGTGGAGCCTGGCTCCTCCTAGACCTATTTAAGAGCTGGCTACCAGAGGGGAAGGATCTTGTCTGGAGATTCTGCCTTCTGGTGTTTTGTGATGAGCCCAACTGAGGGTAAGCCTTCCATTTATTCTCTTCTGTTATCATAATCTACTTCGCCTAACTCTCTTGTTTATTTTGTGATTGTAACATCTTAATGTCTATTGATTATACAGGCAATATTTACAAATTATTTCAATGTTTTTCTGAGTGTGTGCTCCAGCACTCGGGGGCTGAATTTTCTGGAGGATGCAAATGGGAGGGAGAGAGCTGTGTACTGTCACCTTGCTGTGTGTGTTAGCTGTTGCGCATTTGGGTGTGACTTTCGGTATTCACTGCTTTCAAACTGTGTTCCCTGCAGCATCATGCAGTCACCTGAAGCTCATATTTTTTAAAACAAGTTTAGCAGTAATTTTTTTTCCTCTGTGAAGAAAATGGATTGACCTAGCCACTCTGTGAATGTCAAAAGCCCTGACACAGGGTGGCTCATGAACCCTAGATCTTCTCTGTATCTGTTCCCTCCTCTAGCAAGGGTGGAGGGAAGCCTGCTGGACTATGGGGCCTCTCAATCTCTTTGGCTCTGCAGGCCATGGGGCCTTGTTTACCCAGCTTCCTGAAACTAAGTCTGTCCAGCTAAATGTTCCTTACTGCTTGGGTGCACAGACAGATTGTGGGGGACAGACAGCTTTCTCTCTTCTTCCCTTTCCAGTTGGTTGAAGCTCCACCAACACCTGACCATCACCATCCATGCATCTTTCCATGCTGTAGGCCTTAGCCCAGCCTGGCCCAGGCTGTCATGGGGTTGCACATTCTGTGTCACCTCTAACATCCTTGTCTTTCCCATATCCTCATAAGCTTTGGAGATGGCTGGGGGCACATCACCTGGCCATGCTGCTGGGTTTGCAGTTAGCCAGCATCAGGTCCTGCCTGGTGGCTGGCACCCACTTGAGCAGCTCTTTCCAACTTGGGGCAGGGAGAGAGGCAGTTCCTGCTATTTTTGGGGTGAGCTGGGTGTACTGGTTACAGTGGGGCAAGTGGCTCCACGCTGTCAAGATCAAACTGCCAGCAGCACCTGTGCTTGCCTTGAGCGTGGGCCTGGACTTTGACGCTGCTCCTTTGAGCAGCCTTGAGAGGAAGAGATGGAGGGCGGTGGTGTGATCAGCCCAGTGGCCTCTTGCTGACTTGACACAAACATGTTTTCAAGTCCTCACTGTGGCTGGCAGGGTACATGCTGTCCTGTCATTTTGCTGCTTCTCTCTCTGGAGAATGTGAGAGCAGTGCCAAGAGAGGCCGCTGCTGCCTCCTGCGGCCCCTATGCACACAGTGTTTTTGTTGGGGGGGAAAAAAAAGGATGGAAAGCTGAATAAAGCAGAACAAAGGAGCCAGCAGCTAACAGCTGAACAGCAGCCACGAGTTTCCTGAAGGTTGTTTTTAAGGTTTATAATCTTTCTCTCCTTGCTTGCAGCAGTGCTTTGTGTCATTTTATCTAGCACCAGCCACAAACTTGCCCTCTCCTTCAATCCACCCATTTGCTTCCAAGCATCTGGAGCTACACTGACTACAGGAGGCATGCTTAGCTTTTTTTAGGCTCCCAGCCCTGAACAGCTGGAATCATCTTCTAACCTTATTGAAGCAGGTCCTCACATTGTTCATGTTTTGGACACTCTTAATCCTTTATTCTAAAAAAGTCTCAGCTGTATGAGATGAGCACCAGCTGTGGCTGGCCACTGCCATGTGCTGTGCCCTGTCCTTCTGAGTCCAGGTGCAGACAAAGCCCTTCTATCCCAGCAGAGCTCGTGGTGGCATGAACACAAAGACAAGCTCCTTGTTCTGCTGGACAGGGATGCTTTTGCCTCTCAGGGCGAGCAGCAGCTCTGCACCTAAGCTTCCCATTTTGTACAGTCCATAGGGAGATGACGCCGTAAGACCGGACTCTTTCCTGAGGTTATGCTCTAGAGGACTTAGAAGTGAGTATGCTTCTTATCTTCTAGAGACCTTCAGGAACACCTATGTCTCCCTGCTGATTAGCAACTTGAGCTGTTTTGACTCTGTTCTTGATCTGCTGATGTCAACTGGAAACTTGCCATTGATTTCAGTGGCCATAGGGTGAGTGAAAATTAATTGCCACTACTGTTGTTCAACATTTACATTGGTTAGTGTGCTGATCACATTGTTACACTTTGTACTGACTGAAAATGAGAAAAAGGTTTAGTGTACGTTAGAATCATGTTACAAAGAACAGAGCTCATTATGGAAATCAAATCAGCAGAAGTTCCCAAACCAGATTAGAGGCAGAGTATTGATATTTTACCTATATTCTTACAAGTGAGAACAACTGAATAACTACTGCTGGAAAGTATTATCTTCTTAAAAAAGAAGTTTTATAAGTGAAAACAATACAACATACACAAATATACTTTGTTTATGCTAGAAATGTCTTAAGGAAAAAGAAAAAAAATTGCTGCATTAGCATAATTCAAAGAAACAGTAAAGCAAAATCAACAGCTCTGCCTGAATCTCCTGTCCTCATGAAATGAACTGACTGTCCCCTGACAGTTCATGCTGCTGAAGACAGAACTCTCATTTCCTGTAGCAGTGGATATGTTCATTCCTGGAAGGAAATAGGAGGATCTGTGGTTCTTCTCTGATCTGTTTGACTGCAGTGGTGTAGATTTAAAGTCAGGGCACATCCTCTCCCTTAGCATCAATACTACCAGGTGGAGAATATAATTCCATTGCAGAGCAAAGGAGAAGGCAACAAGAGGTCTTCAGAGAAGGATAAAAACATCTCTTTCAGTCAGCTCTGAATGCTAATCTCTGTAATATAATTTCTGCGGTCTGCCTGCAGCAGTTGGTGGTGATCCAGTGAATAGCTTTGCCATTTCTCCAGCAGCTTTAACGTGGGTGGCCACAAGAGATAAGTGCACAGGGTGCAGGCTGGCACCCAAGCAGCAGTGGGGAGCACAGGGGAAGAGGAAGGCAGGACCCCCAGGGCCCTGCAGGTGGAGTGATTTGGACCAGTGGTTGTTTCTGGGCAGCTCCACAAATGATACAAATTATGAGAACTTGAGTCTCCCCAGTCAGATTTTCAGACTGAAGCTTTCCTCATTGTGTACTTACGTAAAACCTGAAGTGAAGCTGATTAGAAACAAGGGAGAGCTGTCAAGTGAGTTCAGACGGTTTCATGTCAGCTCCTAACAAAGCACAAACGTCAACAAAAAAACACTAAGTTTTATGCCTGAGCAAACAGCTTCCTATGGTCTGTGAAGCAATGACACGTACCCATTAATATCCAGAGAGGCATAAACTACCTGAACGACCCCATCACAAAGGCTGAATTCCTCCAATAACACCCTCTGCAAGCAGGGGAGTGGCTGCAGGCCACCAATACGCTTTGCAGTGCATGTTATGGACTGAAAGGTGTGCTACCCCAACGGAGGGAAGGGCAAGGAACCCTGCCAAGTATTCTGCCCACGTACCAGATAGTTTGTTAAAAATCAACCAGAAGTGTCATGGATTGCAGTGCTTCTAGAAAACAGGGGACCACAGGCACAAGAATGAACACTCAGAAAGTGCATTCAGTGCGTCTAGTTTCTTGAAAGTCTTAATTATCAGCATAAATTACAGCTAACTCCTAATTTTCTGTGAAGTCATGACAGTTATCAAGTAATTGGGTGTCCCAGGCAGAGGCAGCATGGCTCCAGCAGGCTGCAGAATCTTGGGCAGAGCTCTCAGGTGCTCACATTGCAAAAGCCTTACTGCCTGCTGCTGTTTGTGAGGCACTGCAGCCAGACAAACCCCCAGCTGACACAGCTCTGCAGTGCTCCTGCTGGCATCTGCTGCAGAATAAATATTGTCTGGGATTTTCCATCATCCAGCAATGACAGTGGTGACGCTGTTTAGAACTCTGTGTATTTGCAGCCTCCCACAGCCATCCAGAATTAGCAGGGCAGTTTGACTCATTTACCTAAACAGATACATTCGCTGATACTTAAGAAAGCCAAGAGCATCCATACAAGGTATTTGCATGGGCCTGGCAGAGTTGACAAAGGATCTGGGACAGACTTCTCTTCTTCTAGAGCAACAGATGGGAGACAAGTGGATTGCACCAAATCTTGCATGGCACTGGTCTCTATTTTCAGGCAAATAAATGGGCTGGGAGTTAGCTCACAGCTGAAGCCATCTGAGAATAGGTGCCTGCGTATGCCCTGGGCACCAAGGATCCCATCACAGTTAATTGAGTTGTCTGAAGATGAGAGAATTATTCAGCTGGCTAATAGGTGTCTGCTCCAGGATAAGCTTTCTGAGGTCCTCGGGAAATATCAGCTCTGGTCACAGAATGGGAGCTTAGTTAGTCAGCTCCCACATATGTACATGCATACTTATGTAGGGCTGTGATAACACACTGTACTTGGTGTGCTTCTTCTGCCAAAGCTCTTGACTTTCAGGTCCTGTCAACTAAGGTAATACAGTACAGAAGGCTCAACTTGTAAACAAAAGGGGCTCAGAGCATCTCCTACATGAAGAAAGGCTGAGAGATCCAGGACAGTTCAACTTGGATGAGAGAAGACTGAGGGGTTGATCTCATCATTGTTTGTTAAGTATGTAAAGTGCAGGAGTCAAGTAGATGGGGCCAGACTTTTTTCAGTGGTGCCCAGCAACAGAACAAGGGACAATGGACAAAATCCTGAAAGACAGAAAGTTACTACAATCAAGAGGAAGAACTTTTCTACTGTTCAGAGTGACAGGGCACTGGCACAGGCTGCCCAGAT